AGAGAGAGAGAGAGAGAGAGAGAGAGAGAGAGAGAGAGAGAGAGAGAGAGAGAGAGAGAGAGAGAGAGAAGGTTGGGTTTAGGATGAATCAGGCCAGCATTTTGGGTGGAAGGGAATTTGTCGAGCAGATATTATACATAACAGGGTCGCTCATGAAACATGTTAGCCGCCGCAGGCCATCGCCGGGGCTTCTGGCTGGGAGAGTGAGTGATGTTAATCAGCACATATCTATCCTTGATTGATGTCATGTTTTCTAGACGCTCGGTTCCCAGCACGTGTTGCCCAACACGAACAGGTCGGAGCGTTCCGTCTTTTTTTTTTTTTAAACAAAAAAAGAGACCAATGTAACCCATTGAGTCTTTGATTGGAGAAGACATAAAAAATCCCAGCTAACTGAGCTAAGTCAAAAAACAGATGATTTAACATTTCGTTAGGTCACGATGATAGATAGAACGATTAAAAGTGGCCGGAAGCAAAAGAAGAGCAAATGCGACATATAGAGCACAGAGAGAGAGAGAGAGAGAGAGCGAGAGAGAGAGAGAGAAGCGGGGAGGGGGGAGAGGAAATAAAAAATATACCTTCACACTTCTAGAACAGGCGCATGGAGTTCCGAGATTCTTGATGCGGGGAGAGCGAGAGAGAGAGAGAGAAGCGGGGAAGGGGGAGAGGAAATAAAAAATATACCTTCACACTTCCAGAGCAGGCGCAAGGAGTTTCAAGATTTTTGACGTCATCTTCTTCCTGGCAGATCCTGCACTCGGCGGCAGTGCTTTCGCCATCGCCGAGAACTGTTTTAGCGGGAACGTCCAACACTTTCTCTTTCAACGCACTGCCAGTCCCAACCACTCCTCCATCCCCCTCTCTCCCCACACTACCTCCTCTCCCATCTCCAGTTTCCTCCATAGCCGCCACTTCAATGACCACCTCCCCCCTGCCATCGCTTGCTCGATCCCCCCCGCTACTACTGTCGGAGTCGCTCGAGCGCTTTTTTCCACCATAGCTCACGCCGTTTCCAGCGCCAGCTCCTCTCTCAGGCGCTCCCGCCGTCGCCCTCCCCCCCCCCTTCGCCTCGTCGGGATCGGGATACAAGGAAGCACCAAGTGACCTCCCGGCGTAGTCCCCGCCCCGCCCCCCCGCCCCCCCACCAGACGAGATCCCTGGCGATGGCTCCTCGGTCAATATGCCCGCCAATGGTGATGACGATGATGATGATAATGATGATGATAATGATGATGACGGAGTATAGTATAAGGAGGAGCTGGAGTTCGTCGCCGCCAAGCCCTTAGGTAACAAGGCATCTTTTTCTGACGTCAGAACGGCGCTGGAGGACTCTTCAGCGTCCACGTCAGCATCCACGTCAGTAACTTCCAAACGCGTGTACCGCCGGCGTTCCACGTCAGCTCGGTCCATCTTGATTGATTGGACGAATGATGAGCGAGACAAGACACACGATCAGCTGCCCTGCAAGACAATGGGAACGTTAAAAAAAAAAAAAAACGATCGAACAACAAGCCCACGTCATTCACTGTTTGCTGTAATGGTTTTTTTTTTGTTTCCCTTTTCTTTTCGTTTTTTTAGTTTTTTTCATTTCTTTTTTTTTCTCTTCTTTTCTCTTCTCTTCTTTTCGTTTTTTTTTCTCTTCTTTCTTTTATCTTCGTTTTTTCCCTCTTCTTTTCGTTTTTTTCTCTTCTTTGTGCTGTTTGCATTGCAATTGATTTCCCGATGCTTTGAAATATGAGCTGCCTACTGTGCATAGCTCTCTGTTTGCTGTTTACTGGATCAATTCCAAGTCATTCATGTTTTTCAAGGGATTAAAAAAAAAAAAAAAAAAGGAAGGTATTGTATAAGTACAAATTGTACAATAAATATATACGTATATTATGGAACGTATATACAGTCAAACAGAGCTGCCTACGGTAAACCGTAGGCAGAGAGGGAGGGAGAAGAGGACAACAAACATGTAGGGGGCTGTGACAGACAGACTGTTTCGTCGGAGTTTCACCTACCTACTCATCAATCAGGAGGAGGCTGACCCCTCAAAAACAGTCTGCAGCAGAATCCCCTAACTGATTACACTAAGTAAGTGATAATCCACCTTCACCCCGGTTGTGGTTAAGCATCACCAACTGCCCGACAACTGATACCCCTCTGAGGCGGTGGGGACCACCAACTACTGCCCTCAAGGTACCTGGAACGAAAATCAAAGCAGACTACTGTATCACTCACCCACCCCACATGGAAAACTCTACAGACTGTCTGTCGGTTCACACCTCCCCATCACAAGGTAAGCAAGCAAAACACCCACGAAACAAAGAAAGGTCTGTCACAGTATATATAACTATACTACCTCAGGAGGCTTTACTGTAAATGTCTTACAGTTAGCGTTTCACGGTCGCCACCTTCTTATGCATCATGCGACGCCAGGCGATGACGTCAATAACCATCCTCATATTTCTGCCTGTATTTTACACAGACCCGGGCATTATATGGCACTCATTCGTGCAGCTGCCCAGTGGGAACTGTGGGATGGTGKGACGAYGAGTCAGGTCATTTTCGACGTGAATGAATTTTTGCGAGCRTTGTCGAATCATACTTTATTCTGGATTATTGACCGACTCTCGTGTGACACCTGTCGGGACAGACGCGGTGCGCCTTGGCTGTGGAATGCATCATCTATGCCATAGCCATTATCAATCTATTGCGACTGC